ACTCAACAACAGTAATTTAAGAGAACTGGCTTCACTCCTGACAGTATTTTCAAATTCTTATGTCCAGAGCAGATATTCCAAGTGAATTTATGTTTGTAAATCTTAGGGAAAAAGTTTGGTGTTTTTTTGAGACAGGGTCTTGTTATGTAGTTTAGGCTGGCCTTGAGGTCACTACGTAAACCAGGGTGGCTTCAAATTTGCAGTGATATTCTTGCCTCAGCCTCCTGAGGCTGGGATTATAGGTATCCACCACCACACTTGGCAAGGCAGCAAGACAATTTTTTAAAAAGGCAAAACATGAACACTGAGGCAGGAGGACTGCTGTGAGTTCCAGGCCAGCCTGGACTACATAGTTGAGTTCAAGGCCAGTCTGAACTACACAGCAAGACCCTGTCTCACCAAAAAACAAACAGACCACACAAAACAGGGCTAGAGAATGAACTCCGGGTTAGTAAACTCCAAGACTCCACTAGAAGGTATTTGGAGAGGCCCAATCTATGTTGCAGTCCTAGGGCAGTGGTGGTGAACCTATGGCAGGTGTGCTGCCACGGGCTGTTTGTATCACTGAAAGCTCTAAAAAGGTTTGCCATCACTGTCCTAGGGTATTTGGCTCCTGGTGTACAGAAGGGTTTCCATGAATGTTTGTAGAACTAAACAAACCAGGCAAGAAGAACACCATACAAGAGCAGGAAGAAGCTTCCTTGACTGCAGGCTGGGTGCTGCTCAGCAAGCCAATTCCACATTTCATGTGGTACAAAACAAAGAGGTTGACTGGTGTAAGGCATTATTGTTTTGCTCTCTGACCCACATCTGGGTTTCTTCTGAAGACTTAGTGATATTCTGTGGGTAAGTTTCAGGGATTTTAAAACTGTACCTAACATTTTATCCCCATGTTAGAGCATGTGTGGCTTTTCCTAGGATGAAGGTGAATGGCTTTCATTGGATTCTCAAAAGAGGATCCTGACCCAGGTGAAGCTCAGGACCTCTGTTCTACCCTGAGCTTTTTGTACTCAGTGCGAAACATGAGCTAACAGTACATGTTTACCTGAAACTCTTGCTCCAGTTTCCTCTCTATCCAGTCTGTCACATGAACTAAAGTCACTTCTCTCTCTCCAAGTTTTGGCCGAGCTTTCAGCTCCACATGTGGTGGCTTCCGGAAGCCATACCTTTTAGAAGAAGACAAATAATAACCACATTTAGAAGCAAAGAAAGGATGCAGACAAGCACTGATGACAAAT